GACGCTCCCTGCAAGCGCTGCGCACCCGGGGCCGACGTTCCCCGCAAGCCATGTGCCACGCGCCCGGGGCCAAGCCAGCCCCGAGCACCTGGCGGGCGCATAGAAATGCCCCCGCGGGCGCCATGGCGCCCGTGGGCACCGTGTTGGGGACCACGAAGCTAGATCATATTTAGGTTAAACCTACATTCCCTAAAGGCTTGCTCCACTACTTCAGTGAACTTGCCTGGGCTCTACACACACAAATGCTAATGTTCCCCACCTCTATGCTTGTTTCATGTGCCTGCTGTGCTTTGTCTAAGATTGAAAGCTTCTTGTGGTAGGACTATTCAGTTCTAGTACTGTCAGACTCATCCCACTAGTGACCACTACCACAAATAAGCATGCTAATCTTTGACTATATGCATAACAACATGTCACCTGAGACTAGATTTATGAGTTCCAAGGTGTCACCCAAAAGTTGAGTGTTTGAAGGAAATACATATACATACACTGCCTCCTCATACATGGTTTCACACAGAAGGCTCCTATATAGGTATGTGCAGGACTAGTCAACTATCTGATAAGCAAATGCTTATCGGATAGCTTGTCGACTAAGTCGCTTCCCCACTCCCTTGCTGCTTTTATCAGGAGGAGGGGAGGGACAGGGATACAAAGCAGAAGTGCCATTTGTGGGGCAGACCCCGGGCTCCATGGGGTGCTGACACTTTGAAACACCACAGGGAGCCTGACACCAGGCTCCCCGTGGTGTTACAAGCAGCAGGCCACAGGGATCCTAGGGTCAGCAGGGGAGCCCCCAGCTATCCTGGGCTCTACGCAGCACTTTCACCTTTGATGTGTAGCAACAGTCCTAGGGGCCCTATCAACTAATCGAATAGTGAATTACTCACAATTTAACATCCCTATTCCTATACAGTAGTTATGGAGTTGCATACTCTGGCCTTTAGTTTCTTTTTAAAATCTTTTGATTTTATGTAAGTTTGGTATAGAGAAGTGGTTTGAGGGATGAGAGAGGGAAAAAAAAAAGATTGACTGAAGGAGGGATTTGCAAAAGAATAAAGGAGAAAAAGACTTTGTTCCACAGCTAATTATTTGTTCCACTCACTCCATTTAGATCTATTGAAGAGGAGTTCAGTTTCATTTGAAGGATTTCTGACTTTAAAATTTCTATTCCACTTCCACCCTTCTCAAGTTATAACTGTAGCAGTCTTTTATAAGACTGTATTAGGGTCAAGTGAGAAAAAGAAATCCCTATTAATGGCATCCATTCATTCAACTCATTGCATTTTATTGGTCTTTCCTGTTTCAGAAAACTTTTTTTTTTTTTAGGATTTGGAGTATAAAGACATTTTTGTCAAAGAATTTATAAATACAAGAAAATTACAGTCACAACATAGAGTCATTGCCATCCAGGCAAAGTTTCTTCAGATCAGGGAGTTAACAGGCAACATGGCAGAAATGCTTGGCATGGCCACTGCACAGAATATAGCTCTTTCTAGGAAGGTCATATTAATGATCACCAAAATATACCATTAAGGAGGAGAAAGGACTTACTTTCCTGCTACATGAGCATTTTCAACATAGGCAAGTGCTGCTTCTAATCCTTTCAACTGAGCCACCGCATTGGAATCTGTCACAAATTTCTTTATTAGGCCCAGATATTTGGACCATTCAGGGCTTTTCTCATCTTCTATTTTCTGAAAAAGCTTCAGAGCTTCTTCATAGCCATTCACTCTGGCTTTCCACAGCTAAAAAATAAGTCATAAATTAGACACTGCATTTCGTTAAATAGCATGCCATTTAGCTCTCTATCAATTCTTGTTTAGATCCATCTTTCTTAGTACACTGCGTGAATGGTTGCCTCTGTCCAAAGGAAGCACAGGATAAGAATAGCAATCACACAAGATTAGTTGTCAACAAAATGTGTAGATTCACCAGCTGCAGCTAGCCTGCCTATTCTCCATTAAGAAACATCAGTTCATATAACAGTTAGTTTTACCCACACGGGTATTATTGCTTGGTTCTGAAATGACAATTTGAAAAAGGGTTTAAAGCCTGCAGGAACTTTGTGCACAGAACTCTTATTTCCCCTCAATGGGAATTCTGTACAGGTTCAGGTCCTAAGTGTATTCTAATATTACTATCTTTGAACAACTGGTTTAATTTTGAACACGGCAAGGGCTATGATTAAAACATTTATTCAGTTACAGACATTGTTTATTCTGCCCTATCCTATATGTCCTGAAGAATACATATTAGGTCATATTTGACTTTTGAGATAAGGGGGGAGACAAACCCCACCACTGCTATTTTAAATGAATACAGCAGGATTACTTAGAATAGGCAAGCTAAACAAGCACATTTTAGAATAGTAGTTATGAAAATATACTTTAAAACTTCTGTCTTTATAAAATGGGCAATAATATAATCCAGATGAATCCTTTCCAATGATGATCTCAACATTAAAATGCATGCAAAACAATGTCTGAGATGTAGTTCCAAACTTCCCAGTGACAAAAAAAGCCACCAAAAAAAGCTGGGGGTATTTTTGGCTCAATACAAGAAGTCACAACTCTTGACAGTTGTTGAATCATCCAAGTATTGCATCTGTGGAAATCTCCAAGATTCATATATGAATGTGTCAGGCAAAGCATAGGTGCCTCCCAACTTTATTATTCATGAAAAACCAACTTCTAAAAGTGTACTACATAAAAATTAAGTAACATCTGTAAGGACCAATCCTGGATTTTTGAGGCACAGTGATTCTAATAAAAGCTTTCACAATTAAGATAATCTTTCATGCTTTCCTAAGGATTTTTTTAAAAATAGCTAGATCAGCCTTAATACTTCCATAAGTGTCTGGTTACCCTTCTTCCAGTTTGTTCAGTAAGATGAAGTGTAAGGGTGCAAAAGTGCCTTAAGTTCACAGGTTTAGTACATTCACTTTGACCTTAAAGGACCTCCCATCTCAACCACCCTTGCCAGCAACTGGAACCAGACTAGAAATACTCAATTGCAGGTAATCAGCCAATCTGGCAGTTGATGGAAATTCCATCAACTACTCAACTAGGGTATGTCTACACAGCAAGTTATTTCGAAATAACAGCCCTTATTTCGCAATAACTTTCCTAGCACCTACACAGCCAAACTGCTATTTCGAAATAGAGTGTTTATTTTGAATTTGGTAAACCTCATGCTACAAGGAATAATGCCAAATTCGAAATAGCTATTTCGAAATAAGTGCTATGTAGACACTTATTTTTAAATAGGGGGCCTCCAGCCTTCCCAGGCTGCCCTGGTGGCTACTCCAGCCTCAACCAAGGACACACCTCTCCCTCCCGCCCTCCCAGAGCCCTTAAAGGGATAGACTCTGGCTACAGTGCCTGTGCCAGCTCCAAGCCTGCCAGCCCAGAGCCAGCAGTCACTGCCCTGACCCAGTGGCCCCAAAACATAAGCCAGCAAGCCACTGGCAGCCAGCCCTCCACCACTCCCCAGGAGCAGTCTGCAAAAAAAAAGAGCTTTTAGTCCCCTTTTTTGTGAAGAGAAGGAAGGCAGTTTCAAATAAAGGTACATGCTTTAACATGGGATTGTCCTGACTCTACTCACATTGGTGTAATTAGCAGGTATATGGAGCAAGCCAGCTCCCAGGGACAAGTTTTCCTACCTTGTGTTCACATTTCTGGTCAATGGACAGTTTCATCCACTCACTATCATCTCCCATTGTGCCTCAGGCTCTTATAGTTACAGTAATCCCTGGAGAGAAAAAAAATAGTTAACTACAACAAGCCAGGCAGTTTCACAAGGTATTATATCTAGTAATGGTTTATTATTTCAAAGAGAAATAAAAGTTAAAAATCTAATATGGGGGGAAAAAAATCTATTAAGCTAGCCATTACATTTAGGTACCCACCACTAAGACCATGGTATTCTACTAGCCATAAAAGAAAGACAAGTTAATAGTTATAAATTTAAAAATATTGGTGCTGTAATCCGTTATATCCCAAGGGACTGAAGCCTCAGTCTGGCAAAGTTTCAAATGGGAAATAAAACATGCAGAAGTCAGACCAAGTTTAAAAAAAAAAATCTTCAAAGGAGTAGTGCTGATCTACACTAGAAAGCTAACTGCTGACAGTTCTTAACAACAGAACTCTGAAAATAAATGACTTGCTAGAATAAGGACAACTATTTCTAGGATCTTCACAGAACAGAATAAATGAGCTGAACAACACTGAAACACAGCAGACATTTACATTAGCAATCAAATTAGTTTTATTGGTGATTCAGAAGGATCCAGCGCTAACAGTTTTTAGCGGGTCAATTTTTTAGGGCTAAAAATTAATATTTATTTAGATATTTCTACAAGTTTATTGAATCTAATAGGAACAGGTCACAAACAATACAGACCCAATGCCCATCCTGGATATATTATGTGACTAATCTGATGGCTCAATGAATAAACCAAGAATACTGCTACAAGATAGAAGAAATCAATGGAATGAAAATTCAGCAGCAGGAAGGGCTCTGCATATATGAGATCAAGATGATCCATATCCAGATTTATTTCAAGTGGCTGCAAAGATTCCAGAACAGTGACTAGAATGAACAAAACAGGAGCAATAGATAAATAATACTAGGTGGGCCATTTTCTAGATACTTCATAAGCTCAGATCCTGATTTATTTTAAAAAACTAAGATTACTCAAACTCTATGGATATTACTCCAGATTGTTTTCACCATTGATGCATAAACCAGCTAATTTGCAGGAACTCTCTGCAGCTAAAAATTCAACATTAGACTTATGTACAGAGTGTACAAAGAAGCAAACCTATTCTGAAGTGTAACTATGTAATTTGTCTTTCCCATTTTGCAAACACCGATATGGTTGTTTTCCTCCTTTGCGGTAACAGCAGTTACTTACGTGGTACTGAAAATAGGGCAGGTTTGTTTTTGCAGCAGCAAAGATAAATCAAACTTAAGGTGCAAATAAAATGGGGTCTTTTTTTTAAAAAAAAAAAAAGACCATCATTACAGTAAAAGTACAATAATAAGAGAACATCCCCAGACTAATCTGATTCTATGCACAGAAGGCCAACAATTTGCTTTCACCAGTTTAATTTAGACTATAGACCAAATTTAGTCTTTTGTAAGTGGATACAACTTCAACCAATTTAAATATCCATTTAATTATCTGAATGATGGGATGGATTATATCCTCAACAAGTTTGCAGATGACACTAAGATGAGATGTAAAAAAGCTGGAGAGGAAGGATAGTCCATAGTGACACAGTGTGCACTAAAGTAAGGGTTTGAAAAATACATTTGCCAGTAATAAGTAGGAAGTCTTCCAAATGTTTGTGAGGAATTGTTTCTAGCCTTATAATTGTGAAGGTAATTCCAGAAGGGATCTAAAAGGTAAATAGATACAGCACTGTCTTCCCCAATCTGCAGACAGCTCCAGTGCCTATTACTCAGGTTTGCCAAGCCGACGGAATGTCAAGTTTACCAGACACTGGATAGATTTATGACTCCTAGTCTGCCCATATCCTGGGAGCAGCAGTGAAACTGCCACTTGTTCATTTCAGGTTCCTGAGAAAGCCTACAAGGAGGAGAGAAAACACAAGGTTTCAAGTTATTGACAAGAAGAAAGCCTAGAAGAGATAGGACCAGGCAATAAAATGAAGGTACCAGCAAGAAGGTAAACCCTCATTTGCGTCCAAGAAAGATAGTCACTCACTGTTCCTTAAGTATTTTGCTTCTCTCAAAAGTCTTCAAGTGCCAAGCGCAAAGTAAAGGCTTGGCGCAGAACAGGGGTCAGCAACCTATGGCTCTTTAGAAGCAAGTCCAGCCCCCGTTTGCCTCCCCCCTGCCACCAGCAGGGAGTACATGCTTCCACTGTAGCAGGCCTGGGCAAAACAATCTGGCCGCAGAAACAGCAGAGAGCCCCAGGCAGTCTCCCCTGCTTGTCCTGCCCCTCACACAGAAAAGCTTCTGCAGGGCTGTTTGTTTTTCCACAAATTATGAGCAGAAAGGGGAGGGGGGAGTAGTACCTCATGGCTGCTCCCACCCCCAGCACAATCCCATTGACTGGTTCTGGCCAATGAAAGCTGCCTGTTTGAAGAACAGGCAGCGTGTGAACCACCAATCCCCCTCATCTCAGGCTCTTAGTCACCAAGCATATGGCTAGGCAGCCTGTGTGAGGGAGGGCAAGGCAGGCTCCTGTGAGAAATGGGCTGAGCTGCAAGTCTTACTGGTAAGTGTCCAGGCCCTCCCCTCTGCTCTCCTACCCCAAATAACCCAAACCCTCTGACCCTCTCCTGAACCCATACCTCCTCCCAGAATACTGCACTGCAATACCCTGACCTAAATCACAATCCAAACCACTGGCCAGACACCTACCACCACCCTTGCCCCCACTCCCCAGCTAGATGCCCAACACCACCCTGCCCCATGACCAGTCACATACTCAACACCCTACTCTTGCCCCCTCCCTCCTGGCCAGACACCTAGTCCCAGCTTGCTCCTGTACCTTACCTCACACCCAGACTCTGCAACTCATCTCTATGCCATTCACTGGCAGCTCTATCCTGCACACTGGACCCCTCATTTTTGGCCCCACCCCAGAGCCTGGTGGGGAGGGGGAGGCACAAAATCTACTAACCCTGGAACCCCAGAAGAGTTAACCTGACCTGAGACCTTGAACCGCAGCTCTCCCTTCCCTTCTGCCTCCATGGGGGGGAGGGGCACATGAGTGAGGGCTGGAGGTTTTTGGAGAGGTTGTTTTTTTGCCCTTCTCTCTTGTGTGGCCCCCGACTGATTTTTCTGTTGGACAGTGACCCCAACCCAAAAATGGTTCTCCACCCCTGCCATAAAGACAGACAATGTTGTAACCTTTTGTGTTGGACATAATATTTTACTCTATTTAAGAATGAAGCCTGGCCAACAAGCCTTCATCTGGCCGCAGCATCATAACACTTCTGCCCCCCCGCCCATACACCAACCCTGAGCCCATCATACACCTGAACACCCCTGCCCTGAGCCCCTCATATCCCCACATACCCAAACTCCTGCACCCCCATATCCCCAGTCCTGTCATAACACTCCCGCACCATCCACCCACCCCAAATCCATGCCCTGAGTAGGGATCTAAGAGACTAGTCAAGTTTCTGCTCATCAGATAGTCATCGGATAGTCGACTAGTGATGCAACCAGTTGTTTCCTCCCTCCTTGCTGCCTCAGAGAAAGCAGCAAGGGGGAGCAGGAGCCAGTGCTGGGGGGAGCTAGCTTAAAAGCCAGTTCCCCCCAGCACCATCTCTGCGGGAAAAGGGGGTAGAGATATGTGGAAACATCACGAGCAGGGACTGAAGCAGTCCCCACTTGTACATTTCAAAAACAGAATCGCAGCAGAAACAGCACAAGAGCCCCAGCAGGGCTCTTGTACATTTCAAAGGCTGAGGCAGCAGGGAGCGCAGCCCAGTGGGGTTCTTCCTACAGTTCAAAGGTGGAGGCACCCTTATAGACTAATCAAATAGTCAATGGAAATCCCACTGACTATTCGATTAATTAATCTAAATTTAACATCCCTAGTACTGAGCCCATCATACACCCCAACTCCTGCACCCTCACTTCCTCACCCTTGCCATAAGATTGACAGAAGACAGCCTGAATGCATGCATGAAGCTATATTTGACCAGTTATGATATAAACTTCAAAGAAATGTGCAAAATGATGCAGCAGCAGAGTTCCCATTAAATAAAGTCCGTGAGTACAACATTTCATTTATGCTTTTATTAATCACCACATCAATTATCAATAATATTAAGTTGCATATGTTTAGTCATGCAAATGAACACTCTTACACAGCTCTTGTTCTGAATTGTGATGTAGCTTGGCTCTCTGGTTTGAAAAGATTGCTGACACGTGACATAGAAGAACAAAAGTGACCACACTAGCTCCCATCAGAGTTGTTTCCACCATTAGAATCAATGTTCTTCTACGTCATGTGTCAGCAATCTTTTCAAACCAAAGTGACCACACTAGCTCCCATCAGAGTTGTTTCCACCATTAGAATCAACACAGCAGTGGTGAAAGCTAAGTAGCTTACTAGTGAAATGTTAACATTACACGGGGCAAAGTGTAATATCTCCAGATATTCATCTTTGAACTTATCAGTTCAGCACTGCAGCTTTCACCAAAATTAAACTCCATAGCTTTCTGTAGCCTATGGATCATCTCATGACCAAAAATAAGGCCGCCCATTCTTCAATATCTGTCTTTGTGGAGTATCTTCCCTCCCACTCAAATCATGTAATCTGTGACAACTAAAATAGGAAAGTTTATTTTAAGCCAGATGCCAAATAATGTAATGAAATCCAACCAGCATTCTATAAGCAACCAGCTCTCTGAGGATCAGTAAACACTCAATGGTCCACAGCTAGAGAACAAAGAATGTAATAGTGCAGTCGATTAACAGATAAGCAGAAGCTTACAGGTTAATACAGTGGTCCCCAACCATTTGAAGCTGCCAGGTGCCAGGGGGCGTGGCCGTTCGCCTGCCAGGTGCCAGAGGGCAGAGACACTCACGCACCCGGGGGCGGGGCTGCGCATACGCCACACCCCCATGAGCCACGTGCCTGGGGCCAGCAACCCTATGCGCCGTGTGGCCTTGGGCAGGGCCACCTATTTGCAGCAAGCCTGGAGCCAGCGTCCTGCCGGGCTGCTTGCCCAGGGCCAGCACCCCTCCATAGCCGTGCGCCTAAAGCTGGCACCCCCCCATAGCCAGCGTCCCCCCCATAGCCGTGCACCCGGGAGCTGGGGCGGACAATTCGCCACGCTCCCAGGGGCCAGCGCCCCCCTATAGCTGCGCGCCCGGGGGCCAGAGCGCCCAATTCGCCGCTTGCCCAGGGGCCAGAGCGCTCCCCATGCACCATGCGCCCAGGTCCAGCTCCAGCACCACGCATGCGCCACGCACCACGTGCCCGGGGCAGGCACAACCAAATGTCCCCGAGGGCGCCATGCTGCCCTTGGGCACCGTGTTGGGGACCACTGGTTAATACTACAGACCACACACGCACAGTCTCCTGCCCCTTGCCAGTAAATTGTTTAGCAGGCTGGCCAGTAGCATGGCTCAGTCCTGGCTTGCGATAGGTCCAGTACCTACCCTTGCTGTGGCTCTGCATTTAAAGTGCATTAAAAGCCGGGTGGGCAGGCAGCCCAGCTGAGTTCCGGCTTGCGCTGGATATGAGATCTCAGACACTCCCCTAGACAGGGGCTGCTCCCATTCCATGTTGCTGCCTCTTTATCTGAGGCAGCAGCACAAGGCAACAGCCAGTGTGCAAGGGGAGGTGGTTTTTAAACTGGCTCCCTTTGCGAACCAGCTCCCACCTGACACCCCACACTGCTGCCTCTGATTCAGAGGCAATAGTGTGGAGTGGCAGGGGGCTCTTTGGGAGTGAAGCTCCACTGGGACTATAGAACAATTGACTAACCAATTAGAATTCATTAGGTTAATCGGTTATCTGATATTTAACATCCCTATAGAGATCAACAATCTTAAAAGATTACTTCCCTTTAATTAACTTGTGGGGAAAAAATTAAGCTATTCTTAAAAAATACAAACAAGAAAGATGTTGTGTCAAAAGGGCTTACAATGAAAGTAAAAGCAGTTTTGAGATATATGTTTACATCCATTAATGGGGTCTGCTTGCCTCTCCAATTTTTCAAGTCTTGTAGGGTACTCTCAACATTGCATTTGCAACCAAAAAGGGTACTTGTATTACATGCCTACTGTAAGAATCCTTCAGGTAAATGCCATCCCATACTTTCTAACATCTAAATATAAATTAGCCTCCATAGGTGACAATGCCTGCTATACAGTAAAACTCCACTGGTCTGGCATCTGATGGTCCGGCACCATCAGGAACCCGGAAGTGCTCCGGGCAGCCGGACCATTGGAGCTA